GTGAGGTCCATCAGAACCAGATCTTGTGGGAACTGTACCTCAAGGAGCTTCAAACCCCGAAACTCTACACACAGTATCACGTGAATTCCCTCCGCAAGGATGAGGGGCGCAGGGATGGAGGAAAGGCAAGGGCTGGGAGGGTACCTCGAGAAGGAGGAGGCCTGGGAGCTGCGGGAAGGGGGATGCAGGTCCCAGAAAAGGACAAGATGCTTTCCCTAGCACTAGCCCCTTTCATAGAATCACAGCAGAATATTACAAAATGTACTCAGTCATAATTATTGAATATGAATATGAATAATGAATCGATTATCTGATGATTGTTAAAATCAGAAGGAAGATTTTTTGAAGTGGGGAAACTACAGTGAAAGGCATAGGGATTTTGCAGTGAGGGAGACAGATTGGGCTCAACTCTGATTACTGAATGGCCAAGAGGGAATTTATAGCCAAGAAGCAAAGTGGGGTTCAGTAAAGGAAAATTGCTAGGAGGATACATCAAGGTTAGAGGCAGATACTGACTAAACTTCAATTGTCAAGTTTCTTGCTGAAGGCAGGCCAATGGGATCAGAAATCGCCTGGGGGATGGTGCAGGACGAGGAATCCAAGCAAGATATCAGGGGCAATCACATATTGAAGTGGAGGGTTCTGGTTAAACTGACTTCATGAGATTTTCTTATAATTGGACAAATGCAGAGTCCCAAAGTCAAGTCTAGCTGAAAAGTTTAGTTGAAAAATTTTACTCAGGGAGCCTGAGTAAAATTTCGACAAGGAGAGAATCTTTGTCAGGAGAGAAGAAGAGTCATAAAGGAAGGAGGGTTTGGGTGAAGAAGAAATCACCTAAGTTGGCAATTTGGAAAAATATTACACAGCACAAGTAAATTAACTCGCCATTCTTTGTTTTATTAAAGAGTAAAGACCTTGCCCACATGAGTGCAAAGTGTACGTGTGGAAACAGTGTATCTTTGACCCTTGTTGCCATCTCATGACAGGCTCACATGACAGGAAGGACAAGTGCAGCTGGCCCAGCCAGGCCTTCCCTGTTCAGATCCTCCTAGGCTTTGCAGATCCCAGACTGCATGTTCCCCCAGATCAATGATCACTTTGGAGTGGCGGGGTCTACAAATACTCCATGCTTGTACATCCCTATAAACCTGGGTCAATGCCACCAAATGGCACTGCTGGCATAGAAAGGAAGTGTACCCCCCCAAAAATAGGTCCAGATGTGTGCAACCAGAAGAGGAATTAAGCTGGACTTGCAGCATGATGTGGTTAGTGGAAGCAGAGGCTTGGTCAGCTCCAATTTGAAGCTCCCTTCCCCCTGAAAAGACCTCATTCTGGAAAGGGAGAGGACCTCCAGCCTCAATACTGGGACACTGGGGAAGCCACACTGCATGAGCTGCTCTCAGCCTCATGTCTCCTGCTATTATTTTGTGGAAATATATCCTCTAAGTGAATTGCACAGTGTAGCTTCTATAAGATGTATGTGTCACCGTGTTCACTTTTACTCATTTATCCGTGTGATTCAGCAAATGCATTCCTTCTTTCAATAAATATGTATAGAACAGCCAGTGTGCACTGGATGGTTGCTAGGTGCCAGGGACTAAGGCAGGTACAGCACCTCCCCTCAGAGCTTGCATCTAGTGGGAAGAGCCCACAGGTGGTCTCCAAGGCAGACAGTGGGGGTGTGTAACTTTGCGTAGCTCATCCTTCTTCAGCCTCACACTTCCAATGTCCCTGTGTCATTTTCAATTCACAATGCAGCCACACATCAGGAGAGCAGGGCCTGATTTCAGTCCAGAACCATGGACTCCAAACCCTGGTCCTCCTGTATCCCCCTCTCTAGGTCAGCCCAGAGTACCTTAACCATAGGCTGAACTTTAGAGTCTACAATAACACCATTCTGTGCAAAGGCTAAAAGCTGGCGCTTGAGAGATGATTGCCACAAGTAGCTAGCATCCCCGTGAAGGAGTTCGTCCCTGGACTTAATGACCTAAGTATGTATGGCCCAGATAAATAAATATTGAAGACCAGTATTACTTTACTTTCCTACTCGAGTCCTACTTTCTCATTTCTGCCCAAGACTATTGATTCAAATCCTTTTCTTGTACATCAATGTGAGAAATCAGGGCAAGGATGGCAGGCTCAGTGCATATAATCATCTTGCTGACTTTGTGACACCAATAAAGGACAATAAAAGGATATTATTTTTTATTTAAATGTATATTTTAAAAACACCCCACAATTTAAAATAAAAAATGTTTAAATTTAAAAAAATATGGAACGCTTCACAAATGTATGTGTCATGTCAGGGACCATGCTAATCTTCTCTGTATTTTTTCCAATTTTAGTAGAGTAGGTCTCCTACATATGAATGAGTTCCATTCCAAGAGTGCATTCGTAAGCCCAATCTGTTCATAAGTCCAACAAAGTTAGTCTAGGTACCCAACTAACACAATTGGCTATATAGTGCTGTACTGTAATATGTTTATAGTACTTTTCACACAAATAGTACATTTAAAAAGTACTATAAAGCACACAACAGCACAACCACTTGTAGAGGATGTGCACACATGACAATGTACACTAGACATATGAACTAACTTTTGTGATTGGACATGCAAACACATGTTCACGTATTTGAAAGTTAACAACTTGAAGGTTCATATGTAAGGAATTTACTGTATATGTGCTGCCAAAGCAAGCACAATGAAGGGATCTTTTTTAAAGGTATCAGCCCAAAACAAAGAGAATGACAGGTAAACATTAGCAGTCAAGAAAGACATATTTAGGTGATAGAAAGCTGACGGAGTGGTAGAAATTAGAAAATGCAAGCTGATGGGATGCTTCTGAGCACAGCCCAGGCCTTGCAGAACTCTGGAGATTCAGGACTGAGACAGGGTGGGGTGTGAAGCAGAGAACTGAAGTGGGTATTGGTAGAAAGCCTGCAGGTAGTCCCACTCACACACTCCAGTGGCCAGATGTACAAATTTCTCCCACACAAGAGGCTGGAGGTTTATTTTTGGAGAAATGAGAGAAGCCCAGGCTTAGGGACATTAAAACACAGGGTAGGAGCCAGGGATGGGATGGAACACATGAAAATCTACAACAAAAGGCTGAAGCCCTAGACCACACGCCCACCCACATGTACATTGCATTTTTAGCCCAAGAGATGGAGTGTTCCCCTCAAAAAAAAAATAGAACAGCTCTAAAGACACCCACATAGCATCACTTGAGGGCCCTGTAAGGAAAGAACCAGCGAAGTCAGTTTCCCCTTCCAGTCATTCCTCCTAAACCTCCTCCTGTTGAGTTGCCATGGGCTTAAGAGATTCTGCTCACTTTCACAGCCAGTGTCTCATCTCTGCACTGCCACCTGGGCCACAGACCTCCACAAGGTGAGCAAACGACTAGGTGGGGCTGTGTGAGCAGGAATCTGGCCTCCTGCACCCTAAGGTGCAGCACTTACCTGAGGAAAGGGCAGAAGATGTGAGGGATCTGTTACCATCTGTTCCTCATAGAGCTATGGAGGAATACCAAGGTTAAAAAAAGGTGAGAAGTTCAGGAATCCTTACGGAAGAGCCAGCAGGTGATACTTTGCACACGTATCTGAAAAGTGCATGCAGGCAGTCCTTATTTTGCACAATCGTGCAGGACTATTAAAAATGTCCTGCCTGCTAAATCCATGCAAAGCAATCATAACCATCATTGGGAAAACATTACAATTGTTCTGTGACCTTTGAAATTTTTTGTTAGTCTTTTTAAGATGTTAGAAACAAAACGGAAGTACACCATGAAAACAAATTCTTGTGAAAGCTTCCAGAGAGATGAATGAGAACAAGAATGACCCCAGATTTCTCAATGGCAACGCAGGAGGTCAATGTTCTAAGGGGAAACTCATCCCAGCCAAATTAAAGGCAGTTTCAGAAAAGAGATAAAGTTTCTCTCTCATATTTCCTTTCTAGGAAGATACTAGACTATGGTACACAGCAGGCCAGGTGTGGTGGCTCATGCCTACGATCCCACACTTTGGGAGGCTAAGGTGGGAGGATTACTGGAGCCCATAAGTTCGAGACCATCCCAGGCAATATAGCAAGACCTTGTCTCTACAAAAAAATAGAAAAAATTAGCCAGGTGTGGTAGCATGTGCCCACAGTCCCGACTACTCACGAGACTGAGGCGGAAGTCTTGCCTGAGCCCAGCAGGTCCAGGCTGCAGTGAGCTATGATTGTGCCACTACCTTCCAGGAGGCTGGGTGACAGAGCAAGACTTCAAAAGCTAAGACAGGAAACATGCGATCCTGGAAATGATGATGCCAACCTAGATGGTCTAGATAAGAGACAAAGGGACAGTGGTGTAGATCTAGGCTGCAGCAGCAAAATGCTAATGTAGATAAAATGATGAAGCACCCGTAAAGGACTAAGGATATAGAAGGAAAATCAGGTGACGATTAACTCAAGGAAAGCCAAAAGCTGTAATACAAAGAAAATCTTACCATGATACATCATGCTTTAAAGAGATTAATCATGATTTTACAACTTAGAGGAAGAGGAAGAAAGGGAGATCTAAGTGCTCACTTATCATAAAATTAAGGCAATTTAGAATCAATGGCTAAAGTAGCATCAACTAAAACATTACTTAGGCTGGGCTCGGTGGCTCAGCTTATAATCCCGCACCTTTGGGAGGCTGAGGTGAGTGGATTGCATGAGCCCGCAGGTTCGAGACCCGCCTGGGCAGCAAGACCTCATCTCTACAATAAATCAAAAAATCAGCCGGGCGTGGTAGCGCGCGCCTGTAATTCTGGCTACTCGGAAGTCTGAGGCGGAAGGATCGCCGGAGCCCAGCAGGTCGAGGCTGCGGTGGCCGGGAGCGGCCACTGCACTCCAGTCTGGGTGACAGAGTGAGACTCCAACTCAAAAAAAATAATAATAATAAAAATAAATAAGAATAAAAATAAATAAAAAACTAAAATATTACTTAGTATGCAAAGTAACTGTTAGATCTTTTAGTACTGAGTTTTTAACCAAAGGTATATGTTCCTTTGATAATTTTTTGTTTATTGAAAGAATTTTTTTTTTTACAAAATGACACAACAGAAGGGATTCAACCATAGGTAAAATTGAAAGTCTTCATCTCTTTTTCTTGATTCTTTGTATGCAAAGATGCTATTTAGCGTGATCTGCTCTTCATCTTCTCTCTTGTGCGTTTTCCAGGTCTCTTCTACAGAAAGAGAAATATCATCATAGTCACCTAGCAGCCTTCTGCCCCAGGGTGAGGACACCCAGAAAGGCAGAGGGTGGGCTTGGGGGTAGAAGAGGGAGATGAGCCTGCCCCCCACCTGGGCACCCTGATCACTTACATTTGATCCTTTCTTGCCAGGCCTCTTGAGGCCCCTGCCATGAGCTGTCTTGGCTCGGAAGCTAGATACGTCATCATAGCTCTCTCGAGTGTTCCACTTTGAGCCTTTCTTCTTTCCACCAAAACCAAACTTCTGGTTTTTATACCGTCGTTTAGCACTGGGCCTGGAAAAAGTAGTCCTACAGGTTACCCGCAGCAGTAAAACTTGATGAATCTAATGGCCTGTCTGACAATGCCCTTGGTTTCTTTCCTGCTGTCAAAGCCCCACAGGCACTATTGTGACTCAGAACCTCATCCTTAGTCCTGCAGTCTTATGCAGCAAGCTCATGTAGCTCATCTATTTACAGTTCTAACCAAGGCAGGAAAACAAAGAGGCAGGAAAGGCTCTACATTTATCACATGACTCACTGCCATCTTTGGAAAGCTTAACTAAATCTAGCCATATCCTCTCAGTTGTTTCTATTCCTCTCAAGGGTGTACACATGCAGTTAATGTTCAGATATAATATAATGTAGACATCCCACAGGAATCTCAAATTCAGCATCTCCACATTCACGTCGCATCCCTTGCTGGATGACTTCCTGTCCATATGCCCTGACTCCAGGTGGGTGCTGCTACCACCCACGCAGCCACCCAGCATAAGCACCCAGGAGTCAGCCTTGACTCTTTTTTCACTCTCTACACCTAATTCCATTACTGAGTCCTGCAAACTGAACCTCTTAAATATTTCTTCAATCCATTTTCTCTTCTCCTTGCCTTACCACTTTCAATACATTATCACTGCTTATCTAAACTTTTTCAATAGCCCCTCATCTATTTTCCTACTTCCATTAAGTACATCATTTACACAAGCACCACAGGAATCTTTTTAAAAATATGAATATAACCTGTTCATTATTGTGCTTACCAACAATGAGTGTCTCCACTCTGCCCAAGCTCCTCAACAAGGATAACCAATAGCCCAGGTCTCCCCCAGCCACACTGCACCCCTTATTACCTCCCACTGTACTCCCAGTGACACCAAATGCTTGCTGTTCCTCACACACAACCCTGACAATTCACATCTCTATGCCTTTGCACATTCAAGTTCTTCCTATTTCCCGAAACTACCTTCTCTTTTATTCTTCTGGTTAACTCTTACTCATACTTCAACTATTCTCAGGTGAGACTCTCCTCCAGGAAGCCATCCCCAACCATGCCAGGTATTTCTTTTCTTTTCTTTTTTGAGTTGGAGTCTCACTCTGCTGCCCAGGCTGGAGTGCCATGGCACACTCATGGTCCAGTGTCAACCTGCTGGGAACCGGCAATACTTCCACCTCAGCCTTCCAAGTAGCTGGAATTACAGGCACACGCTACCACACCCAGCTAATTATTTATTGTAGAGACAAGTTGCCCAGGCTGGTCTCAAACCCGTGGGCTCAGGCAATCCACTCACCTCAGCCTCCCAAAGTGCTGGGATTGCAGGCTGAGTCACTGATCCCGGCCTCTGCCAGGTATTTCTACAATGTGCCTCCATACTACCCCAAATGTCTCTATCACAGTTCTTACTATAATATATGGAAATTGTCATTTCCCCTAGGCCTGATGTTCAGGTATGCAGAAAGGGGGATTAGAAAGAACAGTAATAGCCAACATTATCCCTTTTAATCTTTATGATACTCAGCCAGATACTATGCCCTCATCTTACTAGATGAGGCAATTAACATTAGAAAGGTACAGTAACTTCTCAAAGCCACTCTCCTATGGCAGAGTCAGGATCCGAATCCTAGGTCTGTACTCCCAACCATCACACTGTGTGATGGGAAATCAACTTTTACTCAGCCTTCATTTAAAATGTTCCAGATACTTAAAAGTACCTTTTTTTACTCTTCAAAGACTGATATGGCTAAAGAGATCCATCACACAGCACTAAAAGTCTTAGCCCCAGGCGGTAGCTGTACTCTCTGGACTCTGGAGGCTGCTCCTATGGAGGTGCCCACCATCCTCATGACCTGTGGGCCCACTACACACCACACAACCAAACAACCCAGAACGCTTCTCACCCCTTCTTCATCTGCCGGCCTTTAGTTCCTGTCTTCGTGCCTCGAGCCACAGGTTTCTGATCTCCCTCAAGGAAATCCAGTTTATCAGAGAAGCCTATGAGAGAAGTACTTTGATCAGCATTATTATATTTTAATAAGAAAAACTGAACCCTCCAAATGAGACTGCTATTTGCTACATTGATTTGAAGAGGCACATTTCTCCTCACACCACTCGCAAAACTTAGGTCCAATATTTCCACATCATCAAGAAGGTACTAAAGCACTATGCATTCAACTTTAAGGGGCCTGATACCCACCTGGTTTCCTACATCCTTCACAGAGAAAAAGACTGACCTTTTTGATATTTCTTAATGGCATTCATCATATGTGCTTTCTCCCGCTGCCTCTTCTGCAGAACCTCTGTTTGCACCTGTGATGTGGACACAAGGACAGTTACACCCATTCCAAGCAAGTACTCCACATGTCTACTTTTTCATAACACCGTGATTAATACCACTATCATTTAACCCTTACTGTGTGCCAATAATAAGGTTAAGGACTCTAAGTACATTCTCAGTTCATGTTCCTAAAAAAATCTATGAAGTTAAAATTCGTATTATCCCTAAACTGAAGTACAAAGAAATGAACTTCCCAAGTCACATGGAAAATGCATAGCTGAGCCAGGCACAGTGGCTCATGCTTGTAATCCCAGCACTTTGGGAGGTGGAGGCAAGAGAACTGCCTGAACCCAGGAGTTCAACACCAACCTAGGCAACTTGGTGAGACCTTGTCTCTACAATAACAAAATCAAAAAAGTTAGCTGGGTGCGTGCCTGTGATTCCAGCTACTTCGAAGGCTAAGATGGAAAGATCACCTGAGCCCTGGAGGTCAAGGCTGCAGTGGCCATGGCTATGATTGTGCCACTGTACCCTAGCCTGGGCAACAGATTGAGACTCTGACTCAAAAAAAAAGAAAATGCACAGCTGAGATTCACACACAGGCAGTCTGACTCCAAAGCCTGCATGCACTCTTACCCCAATACACAATCCGGCCTACAAACCATAGCAAATCATGTTTAGGCCTACGTGCAACTTAACCCATTAATTATTTTTTAGCAGATTAAATATTTAACCCACTGTTACTAGGTATGAGAGTACCAAAAGAAAAGAGAAAAAACAATCTTCCCAAAAAACACAAAAGAAAACAGCTTTATTATCAACAACTCAAAAAAATAACAGCTGCTGGAGAGGGTGTGGTGAAAAGGGAACACTTCTACACTGTTGGTGGGAGTGTAAACTAGTGCAACCTCTGTGGAAAGCAGTGTGGCGATCCCTAAAAGCTCTAAAAATCGACCTTCCATATGACCCCGCAGTCCCCCTACTGGGAATATACCCTGAAGACCTCAGATCACTCTATAAAAAAGATACCTGCACACGTATGTTTATCGCAGCGTTGTTCACAATAGCAAGAACCTGGAAACAACCATGCTGCCCATCAAAAGAGGACTGGATTTAAAAAATGTGGTACATATACACGATGGAATACTACGCAGCCATAAAAAAGAACAAAATCATGAATTTCGCAGCAACCTGGATGGAACTAGAGTCTATAATACTGAGTGACCTCTCACAGAAACAAAGATCCGAGTATCACATGTTCTCACTCATATAATGGACCTGGAACATCCAACGTAATACTATAATAAAATGACTGACGGTACTGGGAAACTATGGGGGGGAGGGGGATGGGATTAACAGTCGCAAATACCTGTCTGGGGATGGGGAAACACCTCTTATCAACAGGGTGCCTGAATGAAATGTAATTGTACACCTAACCCTTAACTGTACCCCACAAAATCATAATAAAAAATATTGATTAAAAAAAAAAAAAGAAAACAGCTTTAAGGATAAAAGGAAACACAATATTCTAACACAGGGTTTCTCGATCTCAACACTACTGATATTTTGGACAGGATAATTTTTTGTTCACAATGGGGGCTTGGCCTCCATTGCAGGATATTTAGCAGTGTCCCTCTACCCACTAAATGTCAGTGGCACCCTCTTTCCCAAAACGTGACAACCAAAAATGTCACAGGCAGTGACAAATGTCCATTGGTGGGGGCAAATTCACTCCCAATTAAGAACCTCCGTCCTAATATTTCCTCAAATTAGAAACAGTGAGCCAAAGGCCGAATTGAGTTTTTCTTTGATTTGGTAAATGAAAGAAACTAATTAAACTAATTGCTGGTGTCTTTGAGATGATTTTAGCCATCCACCCCCAGATCAGAGAAACAATAAATCTGTAGCAGACATTATACAGATGGCAGGATGCTAGTCTATTCTTACTCTGCTTGGGGGGAAATAGGAAAATGATCCCAAATGTGGACAACAGTTCTGAGCCCAGATTACAAATTCTTATATCCAAATGTTGACAGTCTTAACATCCACACCAATCCTCTTCACATGCATTTCTCCCACAGCCCTAACTTTAAAACCTACCATCTTCTTTCTTAGATGACCATGAAATAAAAAAGGACAAATCAAGACTAGTTTCATGGTATGCCTGATCTGGTTTTACCTTAGAACATGAACATTCTTAGTTCAAGCACACTGGTGCCATTATTTTCTTTCAGATTGAATGATAATCATTAGTATAATTTCAGGGATTGACAATCATGTAGGCCAGTGAATCACAAACCAGGATTCATACCACAAGAAGCTTTTGGGGAAACAGATTCCCAAAGAATCTGAAGCCTAGAAATCCATTTTGAAAAATTTCCCCTGATAATTTTGCTGTAGGTCAGGTTTGGAAACCACTGATGTAGACTCAAGTCTTCAGTGTATTGATGTGAAAACTTAAGGCCAGATAGGTGACTGGCTTGCCTGCAGTCACACTAATACTAGTGACGCCCTGGTGTCTGAGTAAGGATGTGCTCACGAATACCAACACACACACTCCACTGTGAGATAATAATCACGGGGCTACACACAGGGTATGGGACCAAATCAGACCACCACAATCTCATCTGACATATACACTCTGGTCTCATCCTATTCCCTTCACACTCTTCTTCTCACCTTCTTTCCATATTTCCTAAGCGCTCGCAGTTGCTTAGCCTTTTCAGACTTCTCCATGGCAGCTTGTTTAGTCTGCAGTTTCTGTCGAATCTAAAATGCAAAATGTTGTCAGTTTATATCATTTGAATCTGAGATGGCTACCATTTAGGACACACTTAACAGGAAACAGATATTTCCATTTCTGCAAACTGAGAAATTGTACAGCACCTATTCTAACCTCTGGATTTTACACATGAGGATACAGAGGCCCAAAGGCTGATCACTTTGTGCAAAGTACTAAAAGTGTCAGGAGTGAAGCCAGAGGTTGAAAACCACCTTTCTACTCCCAGTGTGCTGTCTGTTCCAGTATATAAAACTGTCTAATTGCAGTCCAAAAAGAAGACTAACTTCTTTTCCTTTCTACTGCCTTACTGAGGCAAAACCAGCATGCAGCCAAAGTGCCCTTTTCTAATATATCACATGCACAATAACTCAGGCAGATATCAGGTACCTAGCCTTTCCATCAAACACACACACTTCAGGAAAAGGATGAGAAATTATCTGTGTGAACTTCTAGAGATTTCAGTGAGAAGTTGTACAGAGATATGTGTGGACTCATCTCTAGATTAGCTTCCATGAGAACCACCAAAACAAGAGCTTCCTAAAATCTAGCTTGAGACCCAAGTGTACCACTTAGATAAAGTTGTCCCTTGTTATCCATTGGGGATTGCTTTCAGAACTGCCCCAGACTCCAAAATCTACAGATGCTCAAGTCTCTTACATAAAATGTTGTAGTAATTGCATATAACCTACACACATCCTCCCCATACTTTATATCTTCTCTAAAGTACTTATAATACCTTATATAATGCTGGTACATCATTCTCATGTATCCAATGCAGTTCTCTGCACATGGCAAATTCAAGTTTTCTTTTTGCAACTTTGTACATTTTTTCCCCCAAATTATTTGATCTGAGGTTGGGTGAATTCACGTATGTGGAACCCATGGGTCTAGAAGGCTGACTATATCACGGATTACATGTTGGCAATTCTTTTCCACTCAAAGTTAAATGAGGACCTAGCTCTACTTAACTCTAAATTGTACCAAATCCAAGCCATAAATAAATCCCTCGTTTGTATAAAAGAGATAACTGAGTTCTAGAGAAAAGTAATTGTCTACAAGTTCTAGAAATGCCACTGACAATAGCAGGATAAGAATGCTATCTTCTCTGCACACCATGCCATGACACCAGCTAGGAAATGCCAAGGACCATTTCACCTTGGGGACCACACTTCTCACAGTATTTTTCCTCTCTTGAATTGTTCATATTAGGAAAATGTCACTCTTACATGTTGCTAATAGGCATGACTCTAAAATAGACAATCTCTGGAAAAGATAATAGCTGTCCTCTGACAACAGGCTCCCCATTACTGGGCTTCTACCTATATTTATAAGCCAAATGAATATATTTAAGTCCAAAGCCTTGACTTTCCAGAGGAAAATTTTCTTGTTTCTTACCTTCTGCATCTGCTGATCAGACTTGGCCATTTCTGCAAAATAATCAGTGGGCCGCTTAGTAGGAACTTTGAGCTGATAGAGGCGGGGTAATACTGCAAGCACGGCGGCCTGGGCTTGGCGGTAGCTGAGATTGTAGGACAAAATGTGAAATGAGGTGAGACAGGGAGGCTTTACATTTCTTCTCACTGCCTCTCATGAGTTACCCAAGGTCAGAAGGACCCTCAACATCTGGCCTCCACTAACAAGAATAAACAAAGAAAAAATGTAATAAAAAGTCACAAATTTGGCATCTAGGAGAAATTTAGCTGTACACCACTTTTTAAAAGGGGAAGAGATGTGGTTAAAAATAAATTAGTAGTTTAAAAGTATGACCATTTTAAAGGTACCATTAACACAAAGTAATGTCAATTATGGATTCTTATGTAATCACTAAAGAAAGTCAACACAAGAACCTTCCCTAAGCAATGTTTTGTTCTAATAACTGAATGTACACACAAAGAAACATTAACAGTTAATGTTTCATAATAGCCTACAAATGGGATTTGGAATCATGACTATGGACCAAGATCTCTGCTCTCAACTAGTAAGAATCTCCTAGCTCTTCTTACCCAAAAGAAGCCATCCTCCCCACTTCTAGGCTTATTCTGCAGAGTGCAGGCTCACAACTTTCCCGTCTACCCTGCTCTCCTTCACAAGGACCCTTAATTTCCCCAACATTTGTAAAAAAAAAAAAAAAAAACATACAAACTCATCTCCCGCCGGAAGTCGTCTTCTGGATCAACTCCTCTCTGCTCTTTGTTCTGAGTTGCTGGAGCCTCAGATCCACTGGTCTCCGGCACCGGATCCAGGGTCACGTCTAGCCTTTCAACCCACTCCAGATCCCGCTTGAACTCAGCCAAACATTGCTTCAGGCCATTCTAGAAAATTCAGAAACTGAGCTCATAAGAGAACCCTGAGTGAGTTTGTCTTTCCAATTCCCAAGGTGCTAGGCCAACGGACAAAACGCTAACGCCCAATACCCAGACAGGTAATTGACCATCTTGGCAAGGTGCAGGTTGCGTCTTTGCTGGGACAAGAATTGGTCTCCCAAGCACAACAGTGGCTGGTGCACATGCCATCTCTGGGTACCCTCGACCCAGCGCCCGAACTCACCACGTCGTTCACGGCCTTCTTCGGCCCCTCTAGCACGACATTGAGGCCTGGCTTCAAAAGCCCTCGGGAAAACGCATCCTGCAACTGTAGGACACATCGCGGTCAGTACCAGAGTAAAGTTCCCTCTCCTGCGCCGAGCCCCGCGAGCTCGGCTGACACCTACCTCTCTGTCTGTGACCAAAGAATCCTCAGAATCCGACTCTGAACCTGAGAGCGGGGGAGTGTCCATGTCGCAGCACTTTCGTGCAACACTCACAAAAAGAAGAGGGGTAACTTGAGGCCGGTGTAGCTAGCAGAGGGCGGCCCTCGCGGCGACTGCCTGCACTCAGCCCCCTACTCTCACGCCGCGACAGCACGTGGAGCCGAGATGCACTAGTGCCAACAACTCACAGCTACTACTCAACTTTTTGATAGGGTACTTCCGCTTCCGGTCGCGGACTCATACTTCCGGTTTTCCGTTGCTATAGGAACTGTTCCAGCCTTTGAAAGTGTCCGGGTTGTCTGGGATCAGCCGGGATAGTACCTCTGGATACGTGCGTGGTTTGGTGACTCAAAGAGAAGAAGTGAAAGGTGGAGGGGGGAACCTGGGGTCTTCGGGAGCTGGAAACTGCGAGGGAGCAAAAGAAAGGGGAGAGGAAAGAGCCGTGGGGGTTGGGGGACGCGGAGGAGGACTCGAGGGACAGAGGGCAGGGGTGTGTCCTGCGGGATGAGGACGGGGCGGGGCGTGTTCTGAGGCGGGGAGGGGCGTGTACCGGGGCGAGGAGGGGCGTGTCCTGAAGCGGGGCGATGCGCTTCTCCACTCTAGAGCTGCGCCCAGTCTTTAGCAAAATTCTTTGACAGGAGACCATGTCGACCGTGGTGGCTCAGTCGCTGCATGTTTTTGGTCTTCGATCCCACGTGGCAAACAATGTCTTCTTCTTCGATGAACAGATCATTATATTTCCTGCAGGAAATCACTGTGTGAAATACAATGTGGATCAGAAATGGCAAAAATTCATTCCAGGTAACATTCCATCCTGACACATATATTAGCCATATGTGCCACATATAACTCCATAATCCCAACATGACAATTGGAAGGAAAGTTTTTGGACAGTTTGAATATACGTTGTATATATGCATACACACAGTGTAGGTTTTATTTTCATTTTTTGTCCTCCTAGGGATTCTTCGAGATTCCTAGATCAAAAGGATAGGAATCTTTCAATGATTCTAGAAAATTTTTAACAACTGTCACTTTGACTATAGTATCTTTTTTGTTCTGTTGTCTCCTTTTGGAACTCCAGACCATCTCAACTCCATCTTCCTTGGATTTTTTTTCTTTTTTCCTTTTTTTTCCCCCTTTTTGTTTTAGAGACAGGGTCTCTCTCTGTTGCCCTGGCTGGAATGCAGTGGCACAATCATAGCTTACTGCAGGCTTAAACTCCTGGCCTCAAGTGATCCTCCTGCCTCAGGCTCCTGAGAAGCTGGAATTACAGGTGCACACTACCACACCCTGCTTCCATGTTTTTTTTCTCTTATTTGGATTTTTCATTTCTTAGCCTCTCTGTGTTGCTGCATTTTAGATAATTACTTTAGATTTATATCTTAGTTCACTGATTCTCTTTTCAGCTGCATCTAATCTACTGTTTAACATATCCATTGAAATTTGAATTTCAGTTATTGTGTTCATATTCTCATGCTTCCTACCTGCATCACTTCTTTCCTGCTCTCAGCTCCAACTTATATCACTAGAGGTTTCATACATGTGTGCGCATGCACGCACACACACACGTGTGTGTGTGTGTATTTATCCTTCCAGCCCATATGTCCAAGTTCTACCCACATGTCCTATTAACAACCACACATCCTGTAAACCTATACTTCAGGCCAAGAATAGAGACAGACCTGGAAAGAAGCCAATGCTGGTCTTTTCAGCAGACTCAGATCCATTTGGGTAGGGAACTCCAGAGTCCTGGGTCCCTGTAACATGATCTAGAAGAGGCAGTGTAGACTCCAGGTGGCCCATAGATTCCACTTAATGGTACAGCCAAAGGAAAACCACAGCAGGGCACTCTAAAATATGAGCCCAACAAAGGATCCATGCTAGCCAAGTCTCAGGGTATTACTGGTGAAGTGAAAAATTCAAAGGTCATGAAAGTGAGAGATCTGGATTTGATCTGACTCTCCATTTCATAAGCTCATAGAACTTCGGTCTCTGTGTCTAAAAAATGGAGATAATTCTCGGCTTGCTCACCTCAGAATCATGATGAGGCTCAAGCTTATTCATTTGTTCATTCAACAAAAATTTAGCAAGTACTTCCTGTGTGTCACAACTCTGTCCTCATGGTGTTTCCATTCTAGTATGGAGAGTGACAATAAACAAAAAGTACAGTCTACATGTTAGATAGTGATTGATGCTGATTTTTTTTAAATGAAGCATGGAAGATGAAACTGCTGAGGAAGTGTGAAATTGTAGATAGAGTGGGTGGGGAAGACTCATAAGTAGTGATTTTAAGGCTGAGGGAAATGAAGGAACTGGCCGTGCTGCTGTGGGGGGGGGGCGGCAGCAAAGAGAATAGCAAAGGCTGAGTTAGGAGGTGCTTAGTGTGTTGGAGGAAGAGCAAGGAGACAATGTGGCTGGAGTGGAGGGAAGGGAGAAGCAAGAGGGGAGGCAAAGAGAAAATGAAGAGCAATACCACCTAGAGCCTTGCGTGTCATAAGCTCCTACTCTGTGAAATGAGAAGCCATGTGGTCCTGAGCAGTAATATGATCCAATTTATGTTTTCATGGGTTTATTCTGGCTACTGAAGAGAGACTAGATTTAAGGAGGGACAAGGGAGGAATCAGGGAGCTCAGCAGGGGTGATTGCTGTAACCCAGGTAAGAGAAAATGATGCTTAGAGCAAGGTGGAGGCAGGCAACTGGGATGGTAAGATCAAATCCTGGATGTATTTTGAAGGTAGAGGTGACAGATTTCCTCATGGATCCAATATGGAATGGAAGAGAAAAAAAAAAGCAAGGTTTTGGGCCTGGAGCAATGAGAAGGATGGAGTTGTTGCTGATTGGGATAGAAAAAGCTAAAGAAAGACCAGGTTAATTTTGGACATGAAGATTTAGGTGCCTGAGAAATATCTACATGGAGACGTTAAGTGAGCAGTTTGATTTCAGATCTGGAATCAAGGAACAAGGTCCAGGCTGGTGATGGGAATTTGAGGGTTATCAGCATAAAGTTGAAATTTAAAGCCCTTAGGATAAAATTCCCCTAGGGATGGATGTATTTATAAAAAGAAGAAGCTTAAAGAGTGAGCTCTGGGATACTCTTGCATTTAGTGCTGGAGAAATGAGGAAGAACAAGCAAAAGGGGCTTTGGAGGGGTAGCCAAAAAGATCAAAGGAAATTCATGTGAGAAATATTTCAAGGAGGAGAGAGTCATCAACTGGGTTAAAGCAATGTTGAAAGCATTTTACAAACTCTACAATCAGTCAACATATATTAAGCACCTGCTAGATAATAGGCACTGGTGATTGAATGAATAAATGAATGAGCAAGAAAGCCATAGCTCTGCCCTCCAGGAGCTTTCAGTATTGTAATAGAGAAAGGTGTGTATTCAAATGAGTAGGACAGTGCTGTCAGGTATGAGCCTGTCACAGAAGCACAATAGGAATCCATGAGCAGTGTTCCTTTTTCCCCTCTATGTAGTCTCATGCATGCATTTTAACTTCCCGCTATGACTTTTACCTCAAATCTGTATTTTCAGTCCCAACCTCTCCCTCTAGCTTTAGAATCATATGCAACTGCTGGGCCTCCTTACCCGAATGTTCCACAACACGTACCTCACACACAATATATCCAAGATTGAATTTATCATTTCCTTCTTTCTCTTTTTCTCTTTCCTTAAGACCCTACCTTGCTAGATATTCAAACACATGATAAAGGTATGATTACTGAAATAGTGTGGCCCTAGTATGAATATCCCAGAAACCTAATAATATGTATAAAAACATATAACTTTAACATAGCATAAAGATGACATTAGTGATTAGTCCTGAGACAACTAGGTAGGTGTTTGGAAAATGGAAATCTACTTAGATCCTCACATCAAACCTTTTGTCATCATGAATCCAAGATGGATTAAAGATTTAAGTGTAAAAATTTCAGACCATCGAAAACTAGAAGCAAACAAGCACAAATGAATACCATATATTTGGATGGGCTGTTTTAAGCAAAAGGGGATGGGCATACTCTTGACTATCAACCCTAACTTCCTCAGCCTATATTCCCTCATAAGTGCCCCACTACTTTTAGTCCCCTAAACCAGAATCCTAAATATTCATTCCTTGTTTCTCCCCCTCACCCAGGTAGTCACTAAATCCTCTTAGCATTTCTCTGATCTCCCCTTCTCTCCATTGCCTTTGCCCCTACTGCTACCATCACCTCTCACTTTTTGAAATAACCTGCTGCTGACTGGTCTCCTTCCCTCCAGGATCATCTCCCATATGACTGCCAGTGAGATCTACAACACACACATCTGACCCTTCCTAAATTTTTCATTGGTTTCCCAGGTGATGTCCAAACTCTTGTGCAAAGCCTTCAGTGATGCAGAGCCTGGGTTCTTCTCTCAGCAGCATTTACTCCCTGCAGCCCTTCTAGAGAGTTCCCATGTGCTGAGCATGCATACCTGCTAAGCAACTTGCTGCCTCTCTCCTTGGCTTGTTGTGAAGCAGCAGCATGGGGGCCCATCACCTTTTGCTTAAAACAGCCCATCCAAAAGATATGATTACAGAAATAGTGTGGTCCTAGTATGAATATTCCAGAAACCTAATAATATATATATAAATATATAACTTTAACATAGCATAAAGATGGCATTAGGGATTAGTCCTGAGACAACTAGGTAGGTATTTGTTGTGAAGCAGCATCAAGGGGGCCCATCACCTGGGGACCCATCACATCACTTTCTAGCACATCTTCCTTTGCCCCACTCATGCTCTCGGGTCTACATCCATGGGCCATTTATTCACCAGGCACAGTAGGCACGGTATCTAGGGCCCACAGTACTTTAAAGGGCCCAAGAAAGCATCTTAATTTTAACTTTTTTTTTTCTTTTTAAGTTGGAGTCTCACTCTGTTGCCCAGGCTGGAGTATAGTGGCACACTCATGGCCACTCCAGCATTGATCTGCTGGGCTCAAGCGATCCTTCCACCTCAGCCTTCCAAGTAGCCGGAACTACAGGCGCACACTACCACACCAGCTAATTTTTTTTTTTTACTGTAGAGATGAGGTCTCACCGAGTTGCCCGGGCTGGTCTAGAACCCGCGGACTCAGGCAATCCACTCGCCTCAGCCCCCCCAAAGTGCTGGAATTATAGGCTGAGCCACCGAGCCTGGCCAATTTTAACTTATTTTAAAATCAGAAAACAATGAATATAACCAAGAATGAATATATAATATTGAATCCAACCTGGTCTGTATTCCTCTTTATAGCAATGCAGTCATGAAGTATATGACTCTATATTTTAAAAATAATATTTACAAATGATTATACTTTAACATTTTAAATTTATTTTTACCATTTTTAATTTTTAACATTTTTTAATGAAGGATGGAGCCCATGAAAGCAAAAGTACCTAGGGCCCATTAAAATCACAATACAACCCTGATTGCATTTTCCAGATAAAATATTTTCACTTTAAATCTTTGCCTGAGGCTCTGCTTTCTAGAGAACCACAACTTTCATTTTCATGCTTATTACTTCATGGTTGCACAGTGACTACTATATATCCAGACATCACCTCTATATTCCAGGAAAAAGGGGATAGAATGCGTCTGTCCCTGGTTTTCAAGAAAACCTAAGCTTTATCATAAAGCCAAAGCATTAGATTTCTGCGTTCATCTCATGACCAGAATATCACATAGTTCACCTACTGTGAGGGAAGCTGAGGAATTCAGTAGTTGGCATCCTTGCCTCTGGAGTAAAAGAAGAGTGCTGTGTGCTGGCTACTCCAGGCATAAGACCTCTGTGATCTGACACAGTTCACCCCTTTACTCATTTTTGACCACTTCAACTCCCAGGCAGTGCTCCAGCAATGTACCACTGCTTGCGGTTCTCCCAGCTTGCTACACCTTTGCTCAAGCTCTTCCTGCCACTGCCTGCCCATCCCACCTCATCCTCCTTCAGGAATGGTCCTGACTTCTCCTTCCACTTCATTCTCAGAGATGCTTATCCTAGCATTTTTATCATATCCAGACAGAACTGTACCAAGGGACTGCCGAGGATTGATAATTAGCCTGTTTGTGCTCCTTTCTCCTACTCTGCCTCGTGCATGTGAAATCATGGTGATCTACCCTCATTATCCCCTTTTACCTCTGTTTGCAGGCTCAGACAAGAGTCAGGGCATGTTGGCCTTGTCCATCAGTCCCAATCGGCGATACCTTGCTATCTCCGAGACTGTGCAAGAAAAACCCGTCATCACCATTTATGAATTGTCATCCATCCCTTGCCGGAAGCGCAAAATCCTCAATAATTTTGACTTCTCAGTTCAGAAATTTATTAGCATGGCTTTTTCTCCAGACTCCAAATATCTATTGGCTCAGACATCACCTCCAGAGTCAAATCTGGTCTATTGGCTATGGGAGAAACAGAAAGTAATGGCCATTGTTAGAACCGACACTCAGAGCAACCCTGTCTACCAGGTACCTAGTAGCATAACAAATATCATGCAAATTATTAAAAAACAGAACTGTCTTTTATTGAATGCTTTCTAGATACCAGAGTTCTAATTTCCTAATGTGCATTTTAAAATTTAGTCGCACAACAACCATATGAGGTATACACGATTATTATCCCCATTTTACAGATGAAGGAACTGAGGCTCTAAGAGGTTAAGTAACTCACCCAAGATCACAGAGGTAATGAGTAGAGAGGTAGTGAGTAGCAGAGCTAGGAGTTCCCTATCTCCAGCTCCTGTCTTTTTGCTGTGGCCCAGAACTGGGCCCAGAGGTAGAGTAATAAAACTTGCTGTCTCTCCCTGGTCCTGGCCTCTTTCCAGCAATATTGCTGGGCAGTAGGAAGACTTCAGGAACGTAATGTGAAGTGGTAGGTTCTTTAGGAAGCTGTTGATGAAGTTTCAATATATGAGGAGCAGAATTTTCTACTGTGGCTTGAGGGCATAAGGAAGAAGACCCCTCAGGAGGGTGGTGGAGTGCTTAGGTAGAAAGTCCCAAGGAGGTTTGATCTTGGTGCAGTCACCCTAGTCTAGGATATAGCACTCAGTTTTACATGTTTGAAAACTTGGTTCTGTTCATGGTCAGAGATTCTAGTTAATCAATGTTTTGGGTATAGACTCAACGATCCAGCTCCCAAGAAGTTGATGTATAAACCCGCATATCGCAACCAGAACACTCACGTCTTTTATCCAATGTGTTTCCTTCCTAGTAATAGAGATGTTAAGAGGTGAAATTAGAAATCAGAAGGTTGCTTGATGATCACAGAATCAGGGAGAACCAGAAGACTGCTTCAACCAGGCCGTAGTGAGGACTGATGGAGTATCCCTATTCAGAGCTGAAGTGTCTCCTACCAAGTAGATTCAGTCAAGTTATCGGATGCCCATGATGAACCCAGCACTGGGAACATAGAAACGGAAAGGCCACAGCCCCTCAAGTTGCTCACCTTCTAGTGGGGACAGCACATTGTCCATCACTGTACACACAGTCTATACTTATGATGGTACAAAAATGATATGCATGCAGTAGAAAGTGGTAAGACACTCTCTCATGAGGCTGCACAGCAGCAGTAAGCCACCACTCCCTGTCAGCCACACCAGGATACTCAGCAGGGTACTGTGTTGCCAGATGATTTTGCCCAATTGTAGGCTAATGTAAGAGTTCTGAGCATGTTTAAGGTAGGTCAGGCAAAACTACCAGGTTGGGTAGGTTAGATGCATTTGCAGCTTATGATATTTTCAACTTATGTTGGGTATATTGGGATGTGACCCCATTGTAAGTTGGGAAGCACCTATACATTGGGATAAGGCCACTGCTTGAAAGATACTTGGTAGGCGACCACATAGCATCCCTGACATGTGGTTTTTTTCCTCCCAGACAGGGCTAAATAAACCTGTCAGACCCTCATTTTTCTGTTTCTAGCTGAGCTTTATTCCATTTTGTTGGCACTGTATGGCTATTGTCAAAACCTGCTCACTCTGCTTTGGTGGTCCTTGTAGAGTTACTGGTTTAAGACTCATGGGTCCTACAATTATAATGGATATAAATGTGTGCCCTTGTCAAATGTAGTATAAAATTACATGACTTAGTGATGTGTAAAGGATGTTATGAGATACCTGAAATAAATAAAATCAGTAAAATAGGAAATTAGTAAATAGGTAATTAGTAAATAGGCAATAATTTCATCAAGATTATTCATACATCTTTTTCATTTATTCAATTCTTATTCAATTCTTTTACATTTTACAGGTGAGCTTCAATCCCCAGGATAACACTCAGGTTTGTGTCACTGGAAGAGGGATGTTTAAACTTCTCCGTTTTACTGAGGGAACCCTGAAGCAAACCAATTTCCAGAGAGGAGAACTCCAAAATTATCTAGCTCACACATGGGTGACTGATGACAAGATTATCGTTGGCACTGACACAGGCAGGCTCTTCCTCTTTGAATCTGGAGATCAACGCTGGGAAACAAGTATAATGGTCAAGCCCACCAACGACTCAAAGAGCCTGGAGATCATCCAGGAATCAGAGAGGTAATGGTGCCTCCTGGGCTGGCACTCCCACACTCATTGTACTAACGGCAGAAAGCAACATTCTTTAGAAGCAATTCATGAGCCCTAAAAGTCAAGGGTATTCATTTTCTCTCTTCCTTTCTAGTGTTCATTTATATTCAAACACAAGTTGGACAGTTATACCCATAACCTAGATAAAATTCTTTTTATTTTTATATCTAACCTCATTTTATAAGCATTTTAGATTGCTAGTGTTTCAATTTTTTTTTTTTCTGTGAGACAGGGTCTCACTCCTTCACCCAGGCTGGAGTGCAATGGTGTGATCCTGGCTCACTGCAGCCTTGACCTCCTGGGTTCAAGTGATCCTTCCACCTCAGCCTCCCAAGCGCCACTTATGTCCAGCTAATGTTTGTATTTTTTGTAGAGATGAGGTCTCACTGTGTTGTTCAGGCTGGTTTCAAACTCCTGGGCTCAAGCAATTCTCTCACCTCAGCCTCCCCAAATTCTGGGAGTACAGGCATGAACCACCATGCCTGGCCTATTCTTCAAAATTATAGTTTTTCAAAAAATATTTTTTCTAGTGGCTGCCTAATTTACTGAATTGATTAAATAAATGTTCAGCGAGCCCTTGCAGTGTGCAAAACCATCTTGCTAGGTGCTGGGGTCACAGATCCTCAAAGAAGTTACAATCCAGTAGGAGGGAAGAGACCAACAAAGAAGTGCAAGGAAATGTTACAGATAAATCTGATAGAAGAATATGGGGTAAGTGTGGTCTCAAGAAGAAGTGCTATTAACCACTGTAATAGAAGTACCACTTTACCTCAATGACAACCAGTAAAAATCACATCTCATACATACTGGAATGTGCCATTAGATGCACCAGACACTGACTTGGTCACTTCATATATATTCCCATTTTATTCTTACCCTGTATAATACATATTATTATCACGTTCATATTAGCATGTTGTAGACTAGGAAACTGAGGCTCAGAGGTTAAGTGACCCACCCAAGACACATTGCTGTTAAGTGTCAGGATCAGGATTCAAACCCAGCCTGAGCCCTCAACCACAATGACATCCTGTAGATTCTTCCTCAGTAGGTTTTGATCCATTTTTTGCCACCCCTCCATGCCAGTGACATCTCCTATTTTGCTGTGCACTTTCTTACCTCTGGACTTGGCCATGTGCAGTCCTCTCTGTCCCCCAGTGCCTAACCCAACTCCCCTAGACACATACACATACACATACCTAACATATTTCTGTCTGTCCTTCAGGTCTCAGTTGGGAGCTCTCTGCCTCTGCTCATCTCAGACAGGTGCCCTCCTCTGAAACCATCCTCAGAAAAGCCTTGTTTCCTCCCTACTGGCTGCTCCCATTACACTCAGCCACCCTCCCACCCCCGCCTCAGACCTTAGCATGTGTCCAATAGACTGTAAGCTTCTGAGAGTGAGAACTATGTCAATCTTACCATTGTTTCATGGAGCTGTTAATACCATAGAACTCCAAATAAAGATTTAGAAACAAATACAAATATTTGCTATATGAACTAATGAAAGAAAGTGGAAACCTGGAATCAAATATCAGCTTTCCCACTTAATGGTTATATAATCTTAGAAAACTCAACCCTTTGTTAGCTTATACTCCCAGCAGGGCCTCCAGAATATTAGGTCAGGCCTGCCAGGGTGTGGGTGTCTGGTGTGCGATCTGGTACTGCAAGAAAGATGCAAAGAATTGCACAGAAGTTAGATTAGAAAATATAGTTTATTTAGAAAGTAAATTAGAAAGAGAGCGGGAGAGAGAGAGGAGAATCATCTCCTGAAGGTAGGGGAGGGAGCAAAAGCCAGGAAACATGGAACGGCCACAGCTTGAAGAGCACATGGCCATACCAGAGTCTAGTAAAGCAATGGCAGCTGGTTGTTAGTGGTTGAGTCCTTTTAATCCTTCCCTTTGATGGAAGGATTGCGTGGTGGTCTGCTCCACATCATCATGAAGGGGCAGGTAAGCGCAGATACTGATGTTAGTCACATGACTACTGCCTTGGTAATGGGATCTATCTGTGTCATGAAGGTCTCAAAGGGCTGATTAGGTTAACATGAGTCTTATGGGTGGAGACAAATACTTGGAATAGAAAAGCTAATTAGTAACAAGCTGGGGAGGAGGTTGTAAAGTAACTATCAATGGCTATCTTTGAGAAACTGGCTCTGTCCTTGGCTAGTGATTAGAGGGTAAGTTAAGTGAACTGCTAGAAAAACAAGAATTAGGCAGTGTTCAAATGGCTGCTCATTGAGCATATTAAATCCGTGTTATGCTTTCACTCTCTGAGTCACTTCTTTCTAAACAAAATAGGGGTAATCACCATCCTTGTCATGGCTATAGTGACCACACAGGGTTGTGAAACTACCAAATAAATGTTTAGCCTTCCAGTCTTCTCTCTCGTGTTTGTATAGCATTCCAAGGCCAAGGGGTAGCATTTGACCATGGGAAAGGGGATCACTGGGTCCACACCAAAGGACAGCCCTGTTTCTCCTGCCCAGCAGAGTTCATCTTCTTGGGATTTTCTCTGTAAACTTTATATGCTATTTTCCTTTTCCAGCCTAATTGAATTCCCAACAGCCACTTCCCCAGATCCTTCCTATAAACAGCTTGTGATGACCAGTAGCCAGAGCCAAGTGGCCATGCCCCAGGTGTTTGCCATTGCCGCCTATTCAAAGGGATTTGCCTGTTCTGCTGGGCCAGGGAGAGTACTGCTGTTTGAGAAGATTGAAGACAAGGATTTTTACCGTGAGAGCAGGGAAATCTGGGTAAGGATGGAAGGAAACAAGGAAGATGCAAATCTGGGGTCCTTTTAGCATGTGTTCTTCAGCAGCAGTGCTCTGACAAGGTGCCTGATGGGGAGGCATAGAGGTGGAGTGCTGGGCAAAAGTAGGGGCTCGAGATACCTGTCCTGAGGGAGGTTTTAGGATGAGGTGGACAGAACTGGGGTTTACAAATAGGTAGATCTGGATATGAATCCTGAGAGAGAACTTTGGCAAATTATACTTCCTCTTTGAACCTTCATGTTTCCATAATAATTATATTATTCTGATATATATTGTCATTTAATGCCAACCATACCACTTGGAACACAGTAAGAATTCAGTAAATGTCTGTGGAATAGATAATACAAAATCTTATAGAGAGACAGAAGCCTCTAGAGAGAGACCATATCTAGTTGGTGAAGAATCAGGAAGGCTTCTTGGTGTATGATGGTAATCTTTGAGGAAGGGTCTTAGAAGATGAATAATATTTGACAGGAAGAAACAAATTAGGAACTCCAGATGGAGGCAACAAATTAATTAATGGCACCACTGAAGGGGAGCAGGTGGTGTGCTTGGGAAATGCCCTGTTTTCCAGTGGAGGGGGATTGAAGCCACTTGAGGGGAAAAGAGCTAAGGTTGGTGAGAGATCTCAAATACCAGCCTAAAGCATGTGTACATAATTCAGCAGGCACTCTGTGAGGTTTTGAGTGTAAAAGACACACTGTAAGGTTTTTGAGTAGAAAAGAAGTGTGCCTAAGAAAAGTAATCTGCCTTTGATACACACAGCAGGGGTAATTTTAGAGGCATGGCACTTAAAGTGGTTAAAAACATGCTGAATGAGCCAGTGTGGGCCTGCCACTTATTGGCTGAGTGACTTGAAATAAGTTGCTGGATCTAGCAAAATCCGTGTTTCTTCATTGAGAAAATAACTCATCCCTCGTCGATATCAAAGTATGAAATGACTGCTTAAGTCACTGTGTATAGTGCTTGGCTCCTGGTGCCCGATGAATGACAGTAGCTATCATTCTGTGATTAAAAATCAGTTGAGAGACTTTTTGTTTGTTTGTTTTCTTTTAATGATGTTGTGGGGTACAGTTAAGGGTTAGGTATACAATTACATTTCATTCAGGCACCCTGTTGATATGAGGTGTTTCCCCGTTCCCAGACAGATATTTGCTACTGTTAATCCCATCTCCCTCTCCCCGCCCCATAGTTTCCCAGTAACGTTTTTGTTATTGAAGCCAAAAGTTAGTGAGGTCTATGACCAGGGCAGTGCATAGTGGGAGAAGTGGGAAGGGAATGTGCCTTTGTGAAGGTTAGGTCTGGAGGACTTTCCCTGAGTAGATGTGGAAGGCCAGAAAAAGGAAGTTCTCAGAGATGACACCTAAGTTACAAGGCTAGAAACCTAAAAAAGGTGCCAGAGTTAGAAAAAGTTAGGGATTCAGCTACGTGTAAGGCTGAGGCAAAATGATTGCCTAACCCCAGGGGGTTGAGGCTGTGGTGGCCATGAGCGTGCCATTGCACTCTAGCCTGGGCAAGAAGAGTGAGACTCTAACTCAAAAAAAAAAGAAAGAAAGAAAAAAGATAAGATAAGAGCAAGATGAGTGAGGACTGAGAGGAAGAAGGCAGAAGCATTGGATTTACTTTGCCCAGAAAGCAATTCATTCTTTTGTTTATTCATTTAACAAATATTTATTGAGTGTTTTCTGGGAGCCAGGCTCTGTGCTGGGTTCTGGGGATACAGCAGGGAAGGCAACACCTGACGAGCCTGCCCTTAGAGCTCCATCTGCAAACAAAGAAATACATACGAAGATGTGGTCAGGTGGGCATCAATGCTGAGAAGAAAAAGCCAGGAGTTAGATGGAGAGCAAGAGGAAGCTCTGTTCTAGAAAGTGGCTGGAGGGACGTTGCTGAGGAAGTTGACACTGATGCAAGGACCAGAACCAAGTGAAGCAGTTGGGAATGTGGATTTGGACTGTGAGAATAAGGTCAATATATATGCAAATATATAGTGCTTAGCTTGTGCTGACACATTGTGAATGCTTTATTTCTACTATTTTAAGTATGTATCATTGCCATTATTTTTGCTACTGTTGTTTTCATTGAAACCCTCATATTAGGTAAAATCACTGAGGAATAAAATAGAGAGAAAAAAGGGGACTGAGGACAAGACTTCGCCTTCCAAGTGTTCCAAAATGTCCTAATTTAGAGACTGAGACAGGATGGGAACCCAGTAGTAGTGATTATTCACTTATTCATTTACTCACTCATTCAGCAAATGTCTATCGTGCACCTCTCTTGGGACAGACTCCAAGCTTGGTGCCTGACCCAGGCAAATCAAATATGGCTTCTTCCCTCAAGAACTCAGTCTCTGAAGGAGAACAACAAGGCAATATCCATTCATTTGCTGAGCGCCTACTGTGTGCTAGGCACTGTTCTAAGCACTGGGATACAGCAGTGGGACAAAACAGACAAGGTCCTCAGTCTGAGGACTTTTACTCTACTCTACACAGTGTGATAAATGTGACAACAGAGGGGACTTCTAGGTGCTGTGGGTACATTCAGAGAACATCAGCACCTACCCAGTCCAGGTTGGTCTAGGATGGCTTCCTAGAGCCTGCACTGTCTTGGCAGAGCAAAGGGTGTTGGCTATGTGAAGAAGAGTTGGGGTCAGTGGAAAGGAAGAACTCCAAGCACAGGGAACAAAACCCAAGAGCCCAGTGTCCAGAACACAGGGAGGCAGGTGCTGTCCTCATCACTACCAAATGTAGAAAAATAAACAAGATGAGGACTGAGTCGGGGCCCCTAGCTTTGATGATAAGGAAATTTCTGATATTCATAAGGACAGTTTCAGTAAATGATACAGTAGAAGCCAACTCCTAGGCAATTAAGAACTGAGTGTGTGGTAAGGAAGCAGAAAAGGTGTGTGCAGACCAGCCATTCAGTAAGTTTGGTTGTTAAAGAAAGAAGATAAACAGTAGGGAAAAGGAAATCCAATTTTATAATGTCTACTTGGGAATTGTAGACTCTCTCAGAGACTACTGGCAGGAACTGTGTGACCCTTTTTGCCTGTCCTGTCGCCTACTCCATATGGGAGAAGAGCTGCCGCATACCCCTCTGCTGCCCTGGAGTATACACGGTGTACTTGGTGCCAGGTGAGCACACGCACTGGGCTCCCAACATGTAGACCAGAATGGGATGTAGACTCATGCTCATTTTAAGGAAAATCTCAAACTGGGATGCATAGATTGATAACTTTCGCACATGCTGCTGTTTTATTATTTAACCAATCATCACTTAAAGGTGAATACATGGTGGTGTTTAAAACTCACAGAAACAGATGTGATTCAAGACCCCCTTCTTCACACCTGAGGGTGATCCCAGAAAGCATCCTGATCCGGAAGTTTGTAAGATAAAATTATCTGAGAAAAACTCTGAAAGCCTAAGGGCACACTGACAATGTGGAGACATGACTGATAACTGTTTTGCATCTTGGGCAGATTCCTGTGGACCCACAGAGCAATGATCCGAGTCAGTCTGACAAACAAGACATTCTCTGCATGTGCTTCAGCCCTTCAGAGGAAACCTTGATTGCCAGCACCAGTAAGAACCAACTATACAGCATTACCATGTCTCTCACAGAGATCAGCAAAGTGAGTTTTACCAGCATTGCTTCTTCCCAGACCAGGGCCTGCATGCCTAGTGAGGGAAGTGGTCATCATGTGGGCAAATTTTAATCCAAAAAAATTGAACATGGGTTCATTCATCCCCTTCATAACAGAGCAAAAGAAATTCTAATTTTCAGATATCCACGTAGAAGCACTTTGATGCATTCAATGGGATTGTTATTGCTGCGGCATCTTTTTTTTTTTTTTTTTTTGTTGGAGTTGGAGTTGGAGTCTCACTCTGACGCCCAGACTGTAGTGCAGTGGCCGCTCCCGGCCACTGCAGCCTCGACCTGCTGGGCTCCAGTGATCCTTCCGCCTCAGCCTTCTGAGTAGCCAGAATTACAGGCACTCGCTACCATGCCTGGCTGATTTTTTTATTTATTGTAGAGATGAGTTCTTGCCAAGTTGCCCAGGCAGGTCTCAAATCCGCAGGCTCAGGCAATCCACTCACCTCAGCCTCCCAAAGGTGCGGGATTACAGGCTGAGCCAACGAGACCAGCTACTGCAGCATCTTTACAGGACACTGACTGGTATTATCTATCAAATTTAAATTTTATGTGTCCTTTTACCCAGAAATTTCATTTCAAGGAATTTAATCCCCTGCTATATTTGCTTATATGCGTGAATATATGGAAATGCTTATTTTTGGTTTTCATTTATTTAGAATAATGAAAGAGCTGGTATAAATACATTGTGTGTGGATTTGAATTTCTATCTGGTATAACTTGCTTCCAGCATAAAGAACTTCCTGTAGTATTTCCTGTGAGCCATGTCTGCTTTTTTATCTATTTTTTCAATTTTTGCTGGTAATGTTTTTATTTTTCCTTCAGTTTTGAAAGATAGATTTGCTGGATATAGGATTCTTGGTTGACATTTACTTTTTTTTTTTCTTTAAGCACTTTGAACATATTATCCCACTCTCTTCTGGCTTCCATTATTGTTAAAGAGAAGTCTTCTTTTAATCTTATTGATGTTCTTTTGTAAGTGATCAGGCATTTTTTTCTTGATGCTTTCAAAATGTTCTCCTTGTCTTTGACTTTCAGTATTTTTACCATGATATGTCTGTTTATGAATCTCTATGTTTCTCCTACTTGGAGTGTATTGAGTTTCCTATATCTGTACATTAATGTTTTTCCATAAATTTGACATTTTTTTAGCCATTATTTAGTAAAGTACTTTTTCTGCTTCTTTCTCCTCTACCTCTGGTATTCATAGTATCCATTAGTTGATTTGTTTAATAGTGTCCCACATTTACCTGAGGCTCTGTTTTCTTAATTAGTTTTTCTGTTCTTCAAAGTGCATAATCTTTATTAATCAAGTTTACTAATTCTTCTGCTAGTTCAAATCTACTCTTGAACCCCTCCAGTACATTTTTCATTTCCGTTATTATACTTTTTAGCTCCAGAATTTGTTTTCTATACTGCTTATCCTTTTATTGATGACATCCTTTCATTTTTCTCTATTTGATGCACATAGTCATCATTCGTTTCTTTTTTTTTTTTAGTTAGAATGTTGGTACCTTTTTTTAAAAAAAAACATATTTTTTATTATAAAATTGTGCAGTACAGTTAAGGGTTAGGTATACAAATGTGCATCGTTCAGGCACCCTTGTTAATAAAGGGTGTTTCCCCATCCCCAGACAGATATTGACTACCATTAGTCCCACCTCCCTTCCCCTCCCTACCCCCACCCATAGTTTCACATCACTGTCGGTTCTTTTTTAATAGTTTTATAGTCGATGTTCAAGGTCCACCATATGAGTGAGAACATGTGATACTCAGATCTTTGCTTCTGTGAGAGATCACTCAGTATTATAAACTCTAGTTCCATCCAGGTTGCTGCGAAATTCATGATTTTGTTCTTTTTTATGCCTGCATAGTATTCCATCGTGTATATGTACATTTTTTAAATCCAGTCCTGTTTTGATGGACACCATGGTTGGTTCCAGGTTCTTGCTATTGTAAACAATGCTACGATAAACATTCATGTGCACGTATCTTTTTTATAGAGTGATTTGAGTTCTTCAGGGTATATACCCCGTAGGGAAATTGCAGGGTCATAGGAAGGTCGATATTTAGAGCTTTTAGGAATCGCCACACTGCTTTCCACAGAGGTTGCACTAATTTGCACTCCCACCAACAGTGTAGAAGTGTTCCCTTTTCACCACACCCTCTCCAGCAACTGTTATTTTTTGAGTTATTGATAATAACCATTCTGACTGTAGTTAGGTGGTATCTCAGTGTGGTTTTAATTTGCATCTCCTTGATGATTAGTGAGGTTGAACATTTCTTCATGTGTCTGTTGGCTGCTCGGATGTCTTCCTTTGAGAAGTGTCTGTTCATCTCTTTTGTCCACTTTATAATGGGGTTGCTTGTTTTTTTCCTCTCAGCACATTTGAGTTCCTTATAGATCCAAGATGTTAAGCCTTTGTCAGACCTGGAGTTGACAAATACTTTTTCCCAGTCTGTGGGCTGTCTCCCTGCTCTCTTGATGGTTTCTTTGGCTTTGCAGAAGCTTGTCAGTTTAATGAGGTCCCACTTGTCTATCTTATCTCTTATGGCCTGTGGGTTTTGGGTTTTGTTCAGGAATTGGATGCCAGTTTCAATTTCCATAAGGGTATGTCCTGCATATTCTAAGGTTCTTATGGTTTGAGGGTTTACATTTAGGTCTCTGATCCATTTAGAGTTAATTTTTGTGTATGGGGACAGATAGGGGTCTTGTTTGAGTCTTCTGCATGTGGTCAGCCAGTTTTCCCAGCTCCATTTACTGAATAGGTTCTCCTCTCCCCAGTGGTAGGTGGTGCAGGCTTTGTTGAAGATGAGTTGGTTGAGAAATTGAGGTTTAGCTTCTGGAATCTCAATTCTATTCCATTGGTCTGTATGCCTGTTTTTGTACCGATACCAAGCTGTTTTGATTATTGTAGCTTTATAGTAAAGTTTGAAGTCTGATAATGTGATACTGCCTGAGGATTGTTCTGGCTATTCTTGGTCGTTTGTGTTTCCATATGAATTCCTGTATTGTTTTTTCTAGGTCTGAGAAGAATGTTGCTGGTAATTTGATGGGTATTGCATTAAATCTGTAGATTGCCTTAGGTAGGATGGACATCTTCACAATGTTGATTCTTCCAATCCATGAGCACAGGATATTTTTCCACTTGTTTGTGTCATCTTTGATTTCTTTGAGCAGTGTTTTGTAGTTTTCATTGTAAAGGTCTTTCACATCTCTGGTTAGGAAGATGCCAAGGTATTTCATTTTTTTTGTGTGGCTATTGTGAATGGAATTGTGCTTTTTATTTGGGTTTCTGTTTGTTTATTATTGGTGTAAAGAAATGCCATTGTCTTTTGTACATTTATTTTATATCCTGAGACTTTGCCAAAGTCCTTTATCAGTGTAAGGAGGTTTTTGACAGATTCTCTTGGGTTTTCAAGGTATACAATCATGTCATCTGCAAAGAGAGATAACTTAACTTCCTCTTTTCCTATTTGGATACCCCTGATTGCCTTCTCTTCTCTGACTGCTCTAGCCAGGACTTCAAATACCATATTGAACAGGAGGGGTGAAAGTGGGCATCCTTGTCTTGTTCCAGTTTTCAGGGGAAATGGTGCCAATTTTTGTACGTTGGGAGTATGCTGGCTGTGGGTTTCTCGTAGATGGCTTTTACTATTTTGAGGTATGTTCCCCGTATGCCTAGATGTTCAAGGTTTTTTATCAAGAAGAGGTGCTGGATTTTATCAAAAGCTTTTTCTGCATCTAATGATATGATCATGTGGTTTTTGTTTCGACATCTGTTGATGTATTTAATTACATTTATGGTTTTATGAATGTTGAACAAGACTTGCATCCCAGGGATGAAGCCTACTTGGTCATGATGGATGATTTTTGAGATGTGTTGTTGAATTCGTTTTGCTAGGATCTTGTTGAGAATTTTAGCATCTATGTTCATCAAAGATATTGGCCTGTAGTTCTCTTTCTTTGTTGGGTCTTTACCTGGCTTGGGTATCAATGTGATGTTGGCTTCGTAAAATGATTTGGGGAGAGTTCCATCTTTTTCAATCACCTGGAATACCTTCAGTAGGATTGGTATCAGCTCCTCCTTAAATGTCTTGTAGAATTCTGCTGGAAAGCCATCTGCACCAGGGCTTTTTTTGGTAGGTAGTTTTCTTATTATGTAGTCAATTTCCTTGATTGTTAT